AAATGTTGAAGGGGAAAGGGTCCGGGAGATTGGTATAAACAACTGAAGTAGCTCGTTATGTAATACTGAACCATAAGTCCGATAGTCACGAATGTTCGCATTAAAATTGGGCTATTTCAGATCCTCGATTCCGCCGGTAAGTCCGGTAGATGAAAACTGAAAATCAATCCTTTAAATTCCTCCTGCTCGATTTAATGGATTATATATTTTAGCATTTACTTAACGACCTCCTTTAGACTCTTGAATTATTCAAAGAGGCACAATTTTTTCTTCTTCTTTTTCGTCCTGAATGTACAGGGTCATCCAAAAGTCCCGCACGGGCAGCGCCAGGCATCACCTCTGTAACTTTTGAACGAATTGAGATAGAAAAATTGAAATTTTGCGTGTGCTCTTCGGTTGAAGAAAACGACGTTTTGCCCCCCCCCCCCCCCCCCCCCCCTCCCAAGAAAAAAATTTAAAGAGACCACTCAATGAAGCATCAACAACCCGAGCGGTTATAGGAATGCTGCAGGACTTTTTAGGATCTCCCTGTATGTGCTACCAGAGTACCTGAAAATTTGCGGTTTAGCTCGCGTACATTTATTCATTCGCGGAATTTTTTAGACCATGAAAAAAAGGTGTTTGATTTTGCACTTGCACAGTGTAGCGCGCAGTGCAAATTACGGAGTACCTCTCTTCAAAGACTAATAAATCTCGAATTTTCCTAATTAAAACACAGTTTCAAGATTTGAAAATTCATTTTGAAATGAGCGTTAAACTCGTTAGAAACCGGTTGGAGATAGCTCTGTCGAAAGTTCTTAATGCATCGAAAAGAAAATCGGATTCATTGGAACAAGTAATTTTGTTTCCGGTTTCCCTGACTCTGATTGTTAGCTCGATAGCCTGTTTCACCAAGATTTTCTTCACTGTAGGAATAAAGTAAGGTGAACATTTTGCTATGGAATGATTCAGTCTTTCCCACCTAAAATTTTTCCGGTTAATCATCGCAAATATCAGTTTCACAAATCGTAGCCGACAAGGTTCTCCACAATTTGGCGACACTGCTAACTACCCAAATATGCAGACATCCGCGTCCATCGGGAACAAATAATAATAATAATAATAATAATAATTGGAGCCTGGCCGCCTGGCGATCGCTGCAACTTACAATAAGAAATCCATACTGCCTGCAATTGGTTGTGTATGCAACACGGACATCCATTGGACACGAATAGTTGCATCCAGGCGTTGCCATTGAAAACCCATAGCGCCTTCAATTTTTTCCTCTTCGAGGTAACTAAATGCGTTTTGTCAGTGCAATGGAGAATTTGCTTGCAAATATTTTATTGCTTCATGTAACTGTGCTAAAAGAGCTGATTTCGCGGTATTTTCTTTTTTTTGTTTTTTTTGTTCTTTTTTTGTATTATGGGATGTAGTATCTAAATAAATTTGAAAATGCGATAATGCACCGCTTAATGGTGTCATTAGGCGGCATTTCCCATTTAAACACATGTATTTTAGCATATTAGATCATTTTGTCATATCTCCTCGAATAATTGTTCAATTTGTGGACCAATGGCATCCTCGTTTTCAATTCACTCAGTAGTTCCCGCACTTAAACACGAAATTCTATTTCAGACACCTGCAAAGTCTCCATTGCTTGTCGTAGTTGCGCAGAGACATTGCGATTCTAGCATTGAATAAAATTGAAGAAAAAAAGTGAGAATAATAATTTATATAATGACGATAAATAAAATGATTACTGATTAATAGATTGATTGACTGAAATAATTAATTGATTTAGTGGCGATAACTTTAATACTTGATTTTATCTCGAATGACGTAGTCATCAAATCAGTATATCGTTTCCCAATGAAGATAATTTAGGTCTTTCCTGCGTTTATTGCGGAGTTTCTATACAATAGAGTGTACACTTAAGCATACATCTAGAGCTTCGTAAGCAAGCTTGTCCCACCTCCTACGTCAAACGCAACGCGATGAGCTGATTTTACCTCTCCGCCCAAGCGTGCTGATTAAAGCAATAAAATGCATTTGTTTATTTATTTCGCCCAATGAAGCCAATGAACCAGTCGAATCATCTGAATGACGCGAGAACTCTCGTCCCCTCCCGCCTTTCGCCAGGAGTGAGAACTAATTTCGCTTTGTGTAAGAACTTTTTTTGCGCAAGGTTATCTCTACATGGGTTGAATCCCGAGATTTATCTGAGATTTTCATTCTCTGCAATTGCTCATCTTTGATACAGTAACGTTGCCCCTCTTTCTCGTCTTTTTTTTCTCTCTTGTTTATGGTCGCCCTATCTTCCCCCTCCTCCCCCCTCGTTGTACACGTATCTGTATTTATTTATAATTAACTCCTGTTACGTTATGAGCTGGAGAGATAGACCGCCTGTCAATTGATTTTCATTCATTTTTGTACTTCCATTTAATGCTTCGCTCATTTTCACTGCTCGACAAAGTCTCGATGCTTTTTCAATTTTATCCGAAACAGTCCCTAGTTTTTTTTTTTTTTTTTTTTTTTTTTTTTTTTTTTTTTTTTTAAATGCCATAAGTGCCCCCTGTGCTTTTCAGCCAGACCAGCTGTCTTTGAAATACAAGCGTAACGACGTATTGGTAGAAGTTGCAGCAACTGAGCTCTTCATCTCTATTTCTATTTAGCGTATTTAATATAGCTTTAACTATGCGTCGCAACTTTCATTTTTCCATCTGAAATTCAAGGCATTCTATTCCTCCTCGGAATCATGGTTTTAATCAAGCATTGATGTTTTAAATTTCGTGACTGAAACGCGTTAGGCGATGTGGAAATGAAGACTGAATTAGAAAATTCTCTTTCCAGGACTGTCTTCTAATCAGTCAGAGTCATGCACAATGTGATCATGAACAGCTGCATTCGAGTGCACGTGCTCCACGGTTCTGCTGTGCTAAGTAAAAACGCCGTATGAGCTTTCGAATGTTGCCGAATTTCCTCTCAGATAACATCACTTTTTGAAGGAAGTTATGAATATCATTCCTTGAAATTTTGGGATTTTGTAGATCAAATTACAAACGAAATCCTCCGAAAAGTCGAAAGAGGAATATTCACAAATTTTGATGGAAATTAGTGATTAGTCGAAGGAAATTTGGCACCACCCGATTGCTCCTACGACGTTCTTCTCCAGCATGGCTGAGATCTCTAACTTCGCATTATTTCTGTTCAAGGGATTCAGCGTGAAAATTTCTCCAGTGCTTCCACATTTTGGAGCACTCAAGAGTCAGAAATTTCCCTTCCAAAAATCTTAAAATACAGGGAAAGATTAAGTATAGTTTCGAAATCCATGAAAACTTCCCATTCTTCACGGGATTTTAACCTATTTACCAGGGGCGGATCCAGCAGTTTGGCAACACAGGATTTCCTTCATTTAAACCTATGTTAAATGATCGATTCTTGTCGAAGCACCTGGCCCCTTCAAGAATCGATCCAAGTCCATTGATTTAAATGGAGAAAAACAATGTTGCCAATTTGCTGGATCCGCCAATGCTATTCACGCGCTAATACATCGTGCTCCATGAAACGCGACTCATTTTTGCGTAATGATTGTTGTCTTTTCCACTGTCAAGTTTGTCGACTTGTATTTGCCAACCCTCCGTCAAGAGAAATTGTTTGCCCTTCAATTTTGCCATTCTATTGCCCTCATCTCGGAGTTATAGTTTGTTTATCTTCCTTTTCAGATTCATTTAGGCCTCTTTTGATTATAACGGGACCAATTTTTTTTCGTCTTCAAAACAAGGAGGTCTGCGCGTTAGTTTTGTGGTAGAATACTCTAAAGTAATCAACGCTTATCAACGCACGTGCATTTCGTTCCTATCTCTGAATCGAATACTGTTTGTCAGTGGTCCAAAATAAAATTGGACCGCGTTTAACAGAAAGGAACCAAGTCACATCAGCTATTGCCAAATTTAATCGGGCAATTTAATTTTTTACAATGAAAACGGTTGTGCGGATTTTTGTGCAAATTTTAGTGAATTTTCTCCATAATACAAAGCAAATTCCTTAACATTTTCAAAGGAATCCGCACGAACGTTCTCTCGGAAAAAATAAAATTTCCCTGTTAAATTTGGCAATAGCTGATGTGGCTTGGTTCCTTTCTGTTTAACGCGGTCCAATTAATCATCGTTTAGTAGCTTTTTGTGATAACACCCACCATCTACCTCCTTTTTTCAGTCCATAAAAAGGAATAAACTCATACTTAATTCAGAACAAAGAGTGATTCGCCGTCCAAAATTAGTTTACTTGTCCTCAAAGAAGAGAGTCAAAGGCGTCAATTGGGGG